GGCTGTTTGCTGCTATTCCGTATATGGCCAAAACGCGTGACATGCAAGGTGATGTGCGCGCCAGTAAAATTCATGCATCCAGGCCGTTCGCCCCGTCTCACCAATCCATGACGATGCAAAGCCGGAATAGCGGACGACCACAGATGATGTAAGAAACCAGGGGGAGTGGGACATTCACAAAATAAGAAAGCATCAGGCCAGCGACGGACTCATAAACCATACCTGGAACGGCTTTTTTCAGCAAATCGCCGTTATCCTATTGATTCGCGAATTAACTGTTTAGAACATTTAATTCCAGATACCCGTTTCGGTGAGTCGTTTGAATGAGACTGAAGTCGTGAAGCCTCGGGTGCGTCAGCACCTGGCCCAAACAGCACGTCCACATGCGTCACGCACGACCTGGTCATTAACAAGTGCCGATCTACGACTAGATCACGAATCTCACAAAAGTAGAAATAAAGTTCACCTTAAAAAGGGACGATTGCTGCCTGACTAAGGGTTCTGAGTAGAATCAAGTTGCCACGCCATTTGGTATACTTCCAGGCATCTATGTCCTCCAACTCGAGATGCAGCCTGGCGGTCGTAGTGTCTGGTGTCGGGCAGTGACCCTAGTTGCTATGGTAGAGACACCGGTCTAAAACGGTCACGGGGACGGCTGTGAACGCTACGCAGAGCACAGCATTATAGAGTTCCAGATGGGAGCTGGGTGCGGGACGTGGCGATGCCGAAAATGGAAGGCTCACTAATGGCATCAGTATTTGGCGCGACCATACGTCCTCAACCTGACAGCCCCTACCCACAAGTGCGCATGTAAACACACATATGCCTGACTCTGACAGCTAGTCAGATCCCACTCGGTACAGAGGTCATGCTGAAATAGACCGTCTACACTGCGTCACGTCCTTTGTATATGGGCGATGGTTTGACTCTGCACAACTTGGTAGTCGCAGTGCTGCGAAAGCTGTGACACTGATACCAAGGCCATCTTTTGAAAGACCACTAGGGTTGTGCCAGACCAACTGACTCTGACATTTCAAGGCTGTCACGGTAAGCGGTCCCCTTAGTGTCGACTGTAGGAGCCTGGAATCGTAAGATGATTGCCTTCTGTGGTTATTATAGGGTACCTATGATTATGGTCACAACTTTGGGAGGGAGTAGCTGCGGACTTTCGGACACCCACTAAATCAACCGCCGCTTTGAGCTGCCCAGGACATACGCGGCTGTTTGTCACTATCTGGCAGATGGTAAAACGCGCAACACGCATGGTGATGGACGTACAGGCGAAATGCATGCATCTTGGCTGTTCGCCTATCGTACCAATCTCTGACGGTGTAAGATCGGAGTGGCAGACGACCGCTATGGGTGTTAGAAACTAATGAAAATGAGACAGGCACAGAGCAAGAAAGCATTCGTCCAGGAACAGACACACGTAGAACAGTTTATTTCCAGTAGATTACCCTTGTCTCCGGATGCGTTAGAGCTTGCACCAAACAGCTCGTGGAAATAAAATAATGTTCACATTAGAAGGTAACGATCGTAATCTGACCCACAGTCTCTAGTGGGATCGAGTTGCCACGCCATTTGGAAACCTTCCAAGTCGTGGCTGAGCGCATCGTGACAGACTCAGGCGCGCCAGATTTATGATAGTGAGGAATGCGCTGAACTGCCGTGTCGATGGATTCCTCAGTGCCGGTCTCTATCCTTCTCCTCTCTTCCATGCACCAAATGACTGTCCGCGCCTGTCAACGAACTGATGGCAAATTTGGGTGCAGTGACTGAGATGACGTGAAAGCCTCCGTCCGAAGGGCGCCACTCGTGTGTTGGATAGTCTTTAAGGACTTCCGCGGACCTAAATACAACTGAGTGTGTTTGAGTTTCGGCCCTGCATTTTCAACGGAAAATATTCTGTTACGTGTATATATTGCTGGCAACATTTAAGTACCACGTTTATTTAAAGTTACATATTGCATGTACCGTTTATAATAGGGTTTTCAAAGGCATTGCCTATTACCCTTAAAATATCCTGACCTAATAAATACTACTAGTGTATTTTGGGGTAATAGGCAATGCCCTTGATGACCGTATTGAAAACGGTACATACAATATAAACGCCAAATGAATATCTTACTATAATTTTGTCAGTAACATATTTTTTCACGGAAAAGGTGTTTACAGTGCGGGACTGCGAAGGGTGCGGTCCAATAAACACGTTCTAGAACAAACACATCACTAGTACGTAGACGTGTCATTTGCAGACTACCTTTGAGCTCTAACTGAATTCGGATCATGGCAAGAATAGGAGTATGATTTGATACAAAATACCGGTTTATTTTGACGTCTGATAGCAAGTCGAGTTCATTGTTTAGTTGTAAGTAGGCCATCATCCAGCAGGTTGCAAGGCGACCAATCAAACATTGTTGTGAGCCGACCTGAAGTGGTTCCCAATCGGTGTGTGTTTCATTTGCCGAGGGGTAGTGTCCCAGTGGCTTATGTTGTCGGTTACAGATTGGGGGGAGGGGGGGTGGCGCACGGGTAGCTGCAACTCTGGTGGACGCACGTGCGTTTGAGTTGAAGTCGGTCGAGTGGCTTCAGGTCAGTGCGTCTAGAATGGCTCACTGCAAGGGGTTAATGACCATGAGACAGCGAGGCCTTGGACAATGACGCCGGACATGGCCATGATAACTGCCCGCAACAGACATACGAGGACGAAGTGGAAACTGTGACAGAGACGACTTAGGACTTATTCGTGCCCTCTGCAGACAGGTATATGGCAAACAAACACCTGCAATCGGACATGCACCGATGGGCGCACGAGCCTGACGCATATGGCAAGTTGATGAAGTCGAAAGGATAGGTCAACAGTCTTATGGAACCAAAGGTAGTCAGTATCTCACCGCCTGTCAGGGGTAGCTCGCCTCTTAGCGCAACAACTATGTACCGGCAGTTGGCAATTTGTCTTCAACGTGGCCGAGAAACGAGCATGACAGGCTATAGAGGTTGAAACAGGTCTGGTCTGTGGGAGAGGTAGAGTGACGAGTGAGACGAACCTCGGAACGGAAAGGATGAACAAATCCGTCTGCTGTAAGACGCATCGATTGTATATGTGACCCTATCCATTTCATCCTTCTAATAAATATCTACTTGAGTAATTTGAGTAGGCATAATTGAGTCCTATTCACTTCTCGCATTTCCCGTTTCATATCACTTAAGTGTTACCAGTAGGTTTAGTGTTCGTCACCGAGAAGGCGATCCGCTCCAAACTGGTTGCCTACCTATTGCCCGACTAGAGCCAAGTTAAAACCTCGGGCGCTCAGCCTCTATGATGACAACTAAGCCAGAAATGGCCATTCGGATATGTCCAAATCTTTTTCGGCGACACTGGTATTAGAAAGGCACTTACCGACCGCGATACCAGACATGCTTGTTCCGCTTTGTGTTTTTGGGTTCAATTTCGAGCCCCGCCAACAGTCGCATAGCGGCTAGTAGTATAGGCACTGAGCTACGGACTAGTTTTCCTGTCAGTTGCGATCGGGCATATGCAATAAGAGAGGGGCGCTCACCGATCGTGGTTCAGTGGTTGTGACGTTGGACTTCTAACCAATAGGTCGCAGGGCCGAGCCTCAGTGATTGCAACACCTGGGGTTGGATATGCCTGGCTGATGATGATTAATAAGTCAGAAATGGCGACTCCAGTCTCCCTTGCCTCTGCCGGGTACGTCTTGGTGTGAGTTTACAAAGTGTCAGCTATCTGCGTACTCTTCAGCCTCCGATCTTCTTGACGTGCTCATGACACCGGGTTCAAGTGGGGGGAGAGTGCGGTAGATGCTGTGCAAGTCACCGTCACTGCTCTCATTCTTCTGCGGGACAAACGGTGGACATCGTCAGCAAGGACGATGGGAATGCCGTATACTGATTGGCCAAGCAGACGCAAAACGTTCACTCGACTCTGGCCCACACTAATCCCCTGTTCTTACAAGCGCATGCTACCAGTCGTTTGTCCAGTCTGACTCAACAAGAGCTTTGTGGCCAAGATTACTCCCCTGGAATCTGACTTTAGAACGAACTACTGCACTGATTAACAGCCCGCGTCGCATACCCTACGGCCTTATGACTATGGAATGCCTTGTAGAGCAGTGATGGGTAGGTCGTACCAGTCTGACATTTTAAACGTTCTTTAGTACTTCCAATTATTATAATCTACATATCCGCCTATGCATAACCCGCGGGTGTAGACAGCAATTCACATAGCCGAAAGGAAGGGCGGCGAATGAAGAGATTCAGAAACGATCCAATTCGTCGTGGTACGACGATGGAAATTGTCAAAAATCTCCTACGGGTAGATACAAGCTGAACACAAATCATAGATCGATGGAATTTTCATTTCAAGAAAGTCTAAAGCATGGTATTAAGGACAACCCGCGTATTGCAGGCGGTCTTACGCGGAATACCAGGAGGGAGTAGGGTTGGTCTAAGGACTGAGAGGGTTGGCGTCGGATTTAGGATTCAAGTTCGGACATGGGAAAGGACAACACTCTGAAATTCTGTGCGGTACAGGGAAAACTTATACCCCAGCGAAATTTAGAAAATGTGCCTAGGCGGCCGAACGGATAAACTTCTCATCCAACTTGCCATCTCCTTTGTCTTTAAGGCCACCATAACTAGGACATCATCAGGCAATCTGCTCATTTCTACCCACTATGCCACCTACCACATTTTTTCACGATTAAGTAACGAACTCTGCGGCAGCATAAACTGTCATACACTTCGCCACGCACAGAATGATTGCTTTTTGCCGAATTTGGACACCTCGAGTCTCTTTACCTACGCTGTACCATGGTCACAACGTTTCGCACCCACAACCGGCAAATCACCTCCGCGTTGATGAGGCCGCCGCGTGCACATCGACTGTGCGGGTCGATATCTCGGATTCAGACGGCACGGATCGATGACTGTCTCCTTTGAAAGCTACCCAATACCAACACCCCTCAGTCTGCTAGAGGATGCCTGTCCGGACGGATCTGGTTCTACTCCTCTTTCACTTCTGGCTGGAGAATGTACTTATTCCTCTTCTTAGGGCCTATGAAGCGAAGCTTAGGGAACTACAAACTCAAGCTCTGGATATATACGGTAAGTTGCCACGTTTTCTGCCTATTACATGCTGGCTGTGCGTTTTCAGTGTCCTTTAGCACCAACTAAGGGGTAAACACAAGTCTTCTCCATGCATTAATGTTATTTAATCCGAATGAAGGAGGCTGGGCATGTACGTTAGTCTTGTTAGTACAGATAAGAGACAGACTGAATGCAACCCTTAATGATTGGACACTTTAAGGGTCATGCTCTGAGATTCATTCATGAGTATCCCGCCAAAGGGCCTTGCTAACTAAAACTAAATGCATTGGTAGGTATTTTGAAAAGCTTCCATAAAATTGCTTGCGTGACATATGCCGGAAGTGGTTTTACTGGTTAAACTTGGAAAGATGTAAGGAGTTCTCACTTTCCGTGCAGGAGAAGCACGAAACGTTCTTCTAGGCCTTATAGAAAGCTACTGGCATCCGTTTCTTACTCATTTACTCTAAATCTGGGCAGTAGACGTTGAGACTGGATGGGATGGCCCACAACTGAGAGAAAACCAACTTTCGAGATTTGCAGAAGGACTTCAAGAGTTCGGTCAGAAAGTGCGATGTCGGGATGGGATGGGATGTAGGAATGTCCTGTTAGAAGAGGATGACTAAACCATGGTCGACATATCGACGTCCAACGCTACCCTACCTAACCAATAGGGTGGGAACAGGGTGGATTTGTGCAGAAAATAACCCATGACAAACAGCGTCGCTCCCCCGAGTCTAATAACTACATCCTTAGGCGAATGCTCCTGTATGCGTCTGTTGTTTTTTCCTAGGTAATTACTCCACGGTTGCTGCTCAGGGGGATGCATCTAGCGACGGATCATCCCAACATTTCCCCCACATCTACCCCTTCCCCGATCTCGGCTTTCCATCACCGCTGCCTCCGACTCCCACCACCTCATGCTCCATCAACTGCCCCCCATCCACCGCCACCTACCGGATCGTACATTCTGCAGAAACGCCATCCACACCGTCATCCGCAGAAGATTCATCATTTGAACATTCATTGCCTGTTCCGACACCCAGGCATACGGATTCTCTTCCCTGGATGGCGGCGATTGGCCAGACATTCGACATCCATCTCCCAAAACGCCCTGTCGCCGCTCCTGCTCAAACCCACAATGGCCAAACATTTGACATCGTCGACGAGGATCCGACAGACGTCGACATAGCCAGGCTGCCAAGTCTCAGCAGCCAGGGAGAGGCCACATCCGAATATACAAAGGCGTTCTCCACGCATCCAGTCTCAATGGACTCGACTAGAAGCTCGGTTTCACGACTCGGACAGGTCAACAGCCTGGTGGAGCGTGTGTCTTTCAGGTAATTGTCCTTTACCAGTATGTCTCAACACTACACACGCAAAACATGCCAAAGGGCAGTCAGATTTTAAGTCAAGACGAGAAAGAGCATAGACTGGGGCCCAATGGCCATCACCATATTACTTCCTCGCCCATATGCCAGTCTTTAAATGTCCACCCCCTACCCTTGCTTACATTTCAGTGAATTGATTCTGATTCCAAGTATTCGGAAAATGGAGGCTGGAAGCGTACCTCACGGCGTAACTGAGCTGTACGAGCCCATCAAAACGGAGACTTGCCTGAGTAACGCTGAGCGTCAAGCCTATCCACGCATCCACATTCAGAGGAAGCAGGGTAAGCAGCAATACTCACCAAATTTAATATGTCATTCAGAGCAGCTTAACCCTTGAAATTTTGAATACTGCGTTACATGCATGTAGTGGAAGACAATTTAAGCTACTAACTCACCTTACTCAATCCAGTGTCCCGAGACGAGCCCCTAAGTTTTCTTTTTGCAGCTGTCTTGAGGCCAACAGTCTCCGTCATAAGGGCTCGTTCTGGCAGTGTTACTCTGCGCGCAAGCCAAGTTTCCAATGAACCACTGCCAACTCCTCGTCGGGTAGGTCATTTTCCTACATCATGTTAGGCCATAGTACTTGAGTCCCAGTGGACAGAGCATGCATTTTCACTCTCCTCATTAACTCCAAATCTGTCCTTTCAGCGGCGGTCGGCAGTGGCACGAGTCCTGCGGAGAATTTGGCGTCGACTGTGCACCTGTGTCAGACCAGAAGTCGAGTGAGCAAACAGATGGAAAGCCGAGATGAAGGATCATGCTGGGATGATGCGTCGCTAGATGCATCCCCTAGCACGCCGGGGAAACCCCACCCCCCCCCCCTCCTTGTCCAAAGAACCCTTCCCCCGTCCAATGTACATAGTTAAGTAACCTATGTAAGTAAAGCCATCTTAGTCACATTAAGTGCCCTCTTCGTTTTCAACCAACCTCTAGCGATGCACACGGTGGGGGCAATGCGATGTGCCAAACGCGATTGCACGGACGATTATAATACAGCAGCGGGTGGGGACCGAAGGCGCTCGGGGTTCAGTGGAGAAAATAAATACCATCGGACAGGTGAGGGGATACTCCAGAGTCCGCTAAATACGAAAGCGCTGGTGTGGGTGCTATCCTGAGCCGACCATCTGCGTCCCCGTGTGTCACACGGCGTATACTGCTAGGCTCTGAGGACTACCAGACAGCGTTCGCAGCCAATCGGAAAATGCAGGTGTGTGTACGACCGCAGGACCCATCTTAGTTGACTTAACAAATAGCACGCAGTTTATAAGCAGTCCCGAGACGGCCTAGGGACACGGGCCAAGGCCGAATCCGTGGGCAGTTAGAGTCAATGCACAATGCTCGTGACAGATCGGCCTCTCAGAAGACGCAAGATGCCGAGTAGAGAAAAACCCTAACTGCCAGCAGTAAATAGGCAAGTGCATCCAAAATCACGACGATAGTACCCCTCACTGGGAAGGTGACCCACACTGCGGTCAGACGACACCGGCATAAATAGGGTCACAGAGATCTGTAGCCTTCCTTTAACCGTTGCAGTTTTAGAAATGAATAGGCTACCAACCTGATCAAATAAACTATCCTGAGAAATAAACGACTGTTAGCTAAGCACAATGAGACGTTGCGACGACCGCTCACTATCAATCAGCCATAGAGTTCCGAATGTAACCAGTGTCAGTGCCGTTCTCCAAAGCATAGTCAAAATTACTGACCAACAGATCTCCGACTCAGATTCAAGGTCAGACTGCTTATTTTCACGTCCGAACACCCCTTCGCTAAAGGTAAGTGACTGAGCAGGATGAACGCAAAAACTTCTTCCGCTACCCCATTGAAGCTTTGGCCACTGAACACAGAGCTCTGTCACTTTCCTTTAATTGCTACCCCGTTGGCTGCGTCAGTGTTGCCATCTTCCTCCTTAATGTACACACAGACGTCGGCTAGGATGACCTCATAAGACTTCGCACGCGCCAGTACAATTACGCAAACACTGATCCACAGCGTCTCCCCCCCCCCGCAAACTATCGTTCCCTTGGCCACGGATTTCGACATTCGATTAAACCGACTGTGCATCCAGCTGCAGCACGGATCAACTTCGGAGCTTAGGCCTAGCGGTGTCTAAGACGGACGACAACTACAAGATCCACTGTATGCTGATCTGCAAATGGCCGGAGTGCATGAGGTCGATGTTACAGGCCACTCATTCACCAAAAGCACAGTCGTTACTAGACAAAGCAAATGACTTAAAAGGCCTTTGTCTCCAACAGACACTCAATCGACAAGCATAACCTCGTCTTGAGTGAAGG